CAGAAGTCCTGGAATAGCACAGGGCTCTTTTCCGGAGGGTGAGTGGGATTTTCTGCCTCATACCTTGTTTTCCGTGGCGTGTTTTTCCTTCTCCACCTTGGCCAGTGTCAGCTCAAGGTCATCAATATCTTTCTTCAGCTCTGAACATTCATCCTCCAGTTTTCTTTTCTTGGCTGTCAGCTCAGCATTAATCTCTTCTTCATCTTCTGCTCTCTCTGTCAGCTCCTTAATTTTGGCTTCCAGCTGGATTTTGGTTTTGATGAGCTGGTCACACCTTTCCTCAGCATCAGCCAAACCGTCAGCTTCCTACACGATTCATTTAAATGCAATAGTTTTCAAATTTTTTTTTTTTTTACTGATTTTCAAACAGTGACATAATATTCTCAAAGCAGATTTACAATCTATTTTGTAGGTAAAACTCAAGACTCTGAGAGTATCCATTTGTTTTAGACTGCCTCCATCCCCTAAAATGAAGGAATATATTATCACACATTTTTATAGGCTTTAACTGCTCATTCAATGCTACCATTGATTTGAAGATAGACTCAAAAATCAGATATGGTAGTATATCCATGGTGTCTTTGCATCATTACACTCCTGTTGCATTTTGGTGAACTGGAAACTGGCAAAGAGCTCCACTGAAGAGAGCCATATAGGCACATTTTTTAGATTACAGTGTATAAAAACTGAATGTTAAACTCCCAAACACTGTTGAAAGAAAATCTTACTGAAATCTTCACAAAAGATTTTCTGAGCACGAATTAAATTTTTGTTTTTGGCAAAATTTTATGGTAAGATCACTGTTTCACTGTTTCACTTGTGGTGAAGAAGAACAGTTTGGAAGGGAGAAATATTTTTACTAGGGCAGTTCCAATCACCTGCATTTAGAGGCATTCCAAGATGTAAGTTACTAAGAAGAAATTTTATTTTCTACATACTACCTGTTCTTTTTCTCTTTGCTCTAGTAAAGAGCAGTGATGCCACCCAAGCAGAAGAACTTTTAATGATCAGCAAAATAGCTAGGTTGGGTTTGTGTCATGCAGATTTAGGTATCTGCCATGATATCAAGTTGCAGTCCATTTAAGCAAAACTTTTTAATATTTTGATTAATTGTACCATACTCTAAAAGAATGAGCTTCTTGTTGCTGAAGATGAAGAGCACCAGAAAGTACTGGTGAAGATGTTCTTTTAGGCTGTAGACATGAAAATGTCATCAGATGAATCCAAATCCTAGCTTGTAAATAAGTTTTAAGGGAATTATTGTTGCTACCATTTTATTTCTAGATAAAAAAGGAAGGAGTCTACTTTCATAATTGTTTCTCTTGAGGAGCCAAGGACCATAAACGCCAGAGAAATCCCTGACATTTTCAGCCCCTCCTATTCCACCTGAATCCACTTGTGATTCTCCAAATGAAAGGTGTTAACAGGACCTCCAGACTACCTTTATTGGTCAGGTGATAACAAAATTGAGTAATAGATAAAGTTCTATAAAAATGTGATAATTGCTTCTGTAAGTTACCAATTACAATTTAAAGTGACATTCTGTAAATTGTGCTATGTGCTGATTGGAAATTGATTATTTCTCTCTTGATTTAAAAGTGTAAGGAAAGAGCTGCAACAGTTAATTGTAAATTTAGTATTATTTTGCAGATTTTCTGTGTGGTTTTCCTTCCTATTTTATAAAATACATGTATGTTTCCAAATAAATACTGTTTTCGGATAATGTGTCTGTTACTGAGACATTTGGGATGATTTTACATAAGTCGCTACAAGACAAAAACACGGGCAATGCTCACAGCCTGCACTTGGAGCTGCAGATCATTTTTCTCCTGCATTAGAGAAGCCATTTTCTCCTCCAGCTCCTTCCGCTTTGCCTCAGACTTTGCAAGCTCTTCCTTGGTTTTCTCAAACTCCTCCTTCATGTTGGCCATCTCCTTCTCAGACTCTGCACTCTTCAACAAGGGCTTGATCTTGAAGAACAGCTTCATCCAGGGCCAGTGTTTGACGTTCATGAATGAACGAACGTTGTACTGGATGCAGAAGATGGACTCTCTGAAAGGCAATACCAAAATATATTATGGTACATATTTTAAAATCTATAAAACATATTTAATTGTCTATATTAATATGGATAACATAAAGTTCTACATATAATAATTTATAGTTATAGTCCTGTATATATCCTCTATATGCATAAAATATTTATCATGTAATATTAAATATATATTTCTTAATAATATTTAGTGCACATTTTATATATAATATATATATCTCCACAGAAAACTTTCTAGTGTTATGTAGAGTATCAACCTATATGGACAGTTTTGGAATCCAGGTGTTTGGTTCACTTTCATGGCCAATGAAAAGGACCACCTCTAGAATTTTACTCAGTTCCTTCCATGAAAGTTATCAAAGGGAAAAGGATACTTCTCTTTTGATAGAAATATATGTTTCTCTCCTTTCATTAAAGCAGCAACCTAAAATAATTAGCTTACACTAGATATCAAGTTTCTGGATATACATATAGTATAACCACTTACCAAATTCATCAAAAATTAGAACAAAGTGTTGAAAAAAATTTTTTTTCCCTAAACTGGGATTTTACACTGTTTCATCTATTTTCAGGATATACATGTGTATTGGTAAACTGAATTAAAGAGAAATAAATAAGATTTACTGTGAAGAAGCTCATTTTCAATTTTGTACATGCCATTAGTATCTGATAAGGATTGTACCAGAAGGCTAAGTAAGTATGTACCTCCTTTCCATCATTTTCTTGAACTCCACCCTCATCAGGTAACCCCTGCACATGGCCTGTGTGCGGGTGATGAGCTGTGCCAGCTTCTCATCCCTCATCTCCTCCAGGAGCCCCAGCAGCCCAGCTTTGAAGAACACCTTGGAGAGGGAATGTTGCAGCACACCACTGTCAGGCAGGGCAAAGCAGGCCCAGAGGGAGTGAGGGAGTGGGGGGTTTGTACCTTGGTGTGTCCAAATTTGTACTGGGTGTGGTCCACATCGATTGACCCAAGGAGCTTCTCAGAAGCCTTCTTGCTGTCGATGAACTGTCCCTCTGGGATGGCACTGGCATTAAGCACCTTGTACCTATCACAGAAAAATGAATATGGAGAAGGTCAGATTCCTGAAAGCTCAATCAAACTTTTACCAACTAATGCTATTGTTTAAATTCTCTGAAGGGGGTTCAAGAGTGGAATAGAGGTGAATAAATCTGAACACTTCCATTTTCTAGAAATCACACTTGCATTTTGTTTTTAAAACTAAATTTGTTTTTAGGAAAAACTCTTCACTTCCCTTAGTCAAGAGATTTTTTGACATGGAATGGATACTGATTTCTGTGGGTAACTGCTGACATATTTCTCATATTATCTAATGCCTCACCTCTAAATGAGAACTTTGTGCACAAGAACAAAATATGTGGAGAGGTGAAACAAATCTCAGTCCTAACACATGCTATCTTAGTATTTTCCAGCTGGTATAGAACAAGAAGCAAGATACTTTCATTTTATTTGGTTTTCCAACTAGTTAGTCTAGAATGACTCGTAGTGTCTTTATTCACATTTCTGTGCTGATGGCTGAAAGTCATCTTACTTTGCTCTCCAGGTGCCCAAGTCTAAGATAGTCAACTTCATTTCTGGATAATTAGTTAAAAAACACTTTATCTCAGGACAAGAATAAATAATTGTCCTTTGAAAATATCTGCTTTTCTCATTAAAAAGAAAGAAACTGGATGACTAACTTGGACAATTAACTTTTGTATACCTAAAGGTAGTATAATGAACTCCTCCCATAATCCTCACAGTACTTAGAACAATTAGGAAACGCACATTACTCAGCATTTGGGGATATGGTGGAAGGTGGATGACACTTTGTCTGACCTCTGTTTGAAGTCAGCATAGAGTATTCTGCTGGGGAATCCTTTCCTGCAAATCCTGATCCCTTCCAACACGCCGTTACAGCGCAGCTGGTGCAGCACCAGCTCATGTTCCATGGCACCTAATAAATCACAGGATGAATTTGTATTTCATTTTACTGCACAGAGAAGAACAGATATATCACAACTTTGAACTTTAACAACTTACCAGGTGTTTTTGTTTCATTAGGAATAAGGCATCGCACAAAATGGGGATGTGTGCTTCGCAAATTGCTCATCAGCTTGTTTAAATTTTCCTTTGGAGCAAGAACAAAGCCATGGGTTTAAAAATGTCACTTACACAATCTCAATATTAGATGGAGTAAAAACACTGCAATAAAACCATGATAAGCATATTTTTTATACCGCTTTTAGGCAGTTCTGAAAGAATACTTTTAAGGATTCAGTGAGAATCCTTCATTCGAAGCACATGTGTTTATAATTTCTGAACATAAAGATTTTGTATATTACATCAATCTAAAGCTTTTTTAAACTAAATGCTCTGTATTTTTTTCACAATGTGGTAAATTTGGAATCATTATTCTACAATACCCGGAAAAGAGCTGAGACGGTCTGGAAAGAAGAACCCTTCTTCTTGGCACCCTTCTTGCCGCCACCACCACCACTCTCTAAAAAATAATATATTTTTTAGAAAGAAATGAACTACCAAAGTGCAAAGAATCTGAAAAACCTTGTGTGTTCATCTTAAAAAATCTAGTAAATATAATAATATGATCAAAATTTGCAAATGAATACAGTAGTTAAAACTACAATGGAAGACAATTTTTTTCAGATGGCAGAAGAATGAAAACCAGTGACTTCATTCTGAAGTTCAGAAAACGCAATCAGGAAATAACATCTAATATTTTGCATGGAATGATATTTAAGGAATTAAATTAATAGCTAGTGAATACACCAAATGCATTACTTATGTAACTTTACAGCTAAGGGTATGCATATACATAGCAGCATGCTGATACATTTGATTGTATTCCCTGAAGTACTTGGGAATGGCCCATTCTGCACAAATCTGGTTTCTTAGCTAGTCTGGGTAATGTCGTAGTGGTACAGATCTATTAAGGTCTCTTGGGAATTGTAATATCCTTTGTTTTGCTGATTTCCAAAACGTAGATGAGGTTTTGGGTTTTCAATTTTAGAAATGTAAGTATTATTGTACAATATTATTACAAGATTCTTTTTTTTTCTTATAAATTATAGGAAAACTGGTTTTAAAGAAATCACCTGCTTCTGCCCCACCAACAGAGGCAAAGAGTAAGGCCAGTGTCTTCAGGGATGATTTCTGGTACAGTCCCACCACCGTTTCATTCAGGGGGTCCTTGTTCTTCTCCAGCCACCCAGTGATGTTGTAGTCCACTGTGCCAGCGTAGTGCACCAGGGAGAAGTGGGCCTCAGCCTTGCCTTTGCCAGGTTTGGGCTTCTGGAAGTTGTTGGACTTGCCCAGGTGCTGGTCATAGAGCTTGTTCTTGAAAGAGGTGTCAGTTGCCTTGGGGAACATGCACTCCTCTTCCAGGATGGAGAAGATGCCCATGGGCTGGGGGAAACAGCAACATGTGAAGAAGGCGTGGAAGGAAGAAACAGAGGCAATGTATGTAAGAGAGAGGAAAGGAAGATAAAAATTATACACAAAACCCTTCCTCAAAATGTGTAGTCTTATGTTTTTCCAGAAAGGGCATTTTGCTAGTGGATATGCCATCAGTTATACAAAAAACCCCAAGCTCCCCCTTATGGCGGATGTGATTTGATAAAGATCTACCATGTAGAAATTCATTATGTATATATTAGGTGAAAATGGAAAACAAAATGAATGAAAGTAGTAGCATTCAGATGTAAGGAAACCTTACACATCCTAAATGATTTTTCTTCGAAACAAGACAGAAAATAGAGCTTGCTCAGGGAACTTACTCATGCAGCATGCATTCAAAAAATACACATGACAATATTCAAAATATACAACACAACGGAATCCCACAGGCAGTGAAGAGACAAATGAAAATGTATATGAAACACTTGGAGTTCATAAAAAATCCTGCTTTGTGCTGCATTAGGTGTGAGTGTGGTCTAACTGGAGCACAGAAGATTCTTGTTACATTTCATATCTGGAAAACTCTTAAGTATCTGGGGGCCAGTAACCTTCTCAATGAGCTCAATGCAGGCAGCCAGGTCCATCCCAAAGTCAATGAACTCCCAATCAATTCCCTCCTTCTTGTACTCCTCCTGCTCCAGCACGAACATGTGGTGGTTGAAGAACTGTTGCAGCTTCTCATTGGTGAAGTTGATGCACAGCTGTTCCAGGCTGTTGAACTGCAGAATGCAAAGATTTACTTGCTTGTGAATTTCCAGGAACACCTTCCAAATTCCAGTAGGTTTTAATTTTAAGCATTAAGGTCCTCATGACTGGGATCTTGAGGAGCTCCTCACTCCCCATTTCCCAGGAGAGATTCTGAGCAATTAACCCGAAGGCAGCCTCTTTTGTGCACCTTAAGTGCCCACTTAACATTCCTGCACACAGTGGGCATGGGGAAGAGAAAAATTCCTGCCTAGTTTCTAAGAACCAGCAAAACCATGACACCCATTAAGGTCTCCATGATTGAGATCTTGAATTTCCAGTGCTGCTCTAATATATCTACCCTTTCAGGCCCTTGCACCATCTGAACATATTTCTGAGCTCTGAAAAGATTTGCAGAACTTAATCCAAGTCCAGCTTTTCTTTTGTTTCTTTTGTTTGAATTTTTGTACACCACCAGTCTATTTCCAAGCATTTAGAGGGAATCTAGCATTAAAAAAATCTCTCTTGAACAGAGGAAAGATTTAACTTCCTCAAAATCTGTCTCTGCTATTAATTATCAGTTGTTCAACATTTTCATATCATTTTTCAATGTAAATTCAACTTCTGCGTGCAACAACAGCCATCTACAAAAATCTGCAGCCCTGTGGGACACTAAATACTATGGAAAACCAGAAGGATGCCATTCCTACAGGAATAGCAGGATTAACCAATAAATAAAAATAACCCATAATTTAAAAGAAGCACAACTCTAAACCCCAAAATATTCCAATTTCTTATTGCCCCTTCCAGGAAAGTTTCCTCCTCTTACATCAAAGATCTCGAAGCCAGCAATGTCCAGCACACCAATGAAGTACTGCCTGGGCTGCTTCGTGTCCAGCTGTTGGTTGATGCGAACAACCATCCACAGGAACATCTTCTCAAACACAGACTTTGCCAGGGCACCCACTGAATTGTACACCTAAGAAATTGTTGAAAGAAAGTTACCATCCATGGCAAAAGAGAAAGTTCGAAGTTTTTAATTCAAGTCATTTATTTTCTATCATGACTTGCCTCTTACCTGCTGCACCGTTTGGCCCTTGGTCACATATTCATTCCCCACCTTGACTCGGGGGTAGCAGAGGGCCTTGAGCAGGTCTGCTGAGTTCAGACCCATCAAGTAGGCAGCCTTGTCAGCAACTAGGGAAACAAGCGTAAAACAGAATAAGATATTAGCTCTCCAGTGGATGCATTTTTCAGTAATTCAGAGAATTTCTGCATGAGCTACATTTAATCGATATTATTCATAAAAGCAAAGATTATTCCAATACCTTTACACTGAAAATGTAAATTTTGAAACAAGTGACTAGACAGACAAAAGGGCCGAGGGCCAAGAAAATGGCAGATCAAAAGTCAAAATTTATGAATAAACAGAATAGGAAAGTGGTAGGTATTGAAATGCACTGTACTGAAAATTGTAGTCAGTGAAATTCTACTGTTACTGGAGGAAGAGAGATAGATTAGTGAGCTATTATGCCAAAAGTATGAATCTTATACTACTTTCATAGTAGGACCATATTCTCCCTAAAGATAAACATCACACATGTAAGTCTTTGTCAGTTCTCATTTTATCTGCAGTTGGACTAGATCTGCAGTTGAAATACAAGCACCACAGCACTGCATATTCTCTGTCACCACTTTCCTGTTTGCTGAGTGTCCCGCCTCACAGTGAAGGTGATAGTGAGCACTAGTACTATTTACAGAGTTCTTCAACGTGAGAAAAGCAAACCTCATTATGTAAGATATGGACACAGATGATAATTTGTACACCCTTTTATATAATTTTATTTACATTTTTCAATAGAAAGATTAAGGTATGAAATAAGAGCAAAACTGGAACAAATGTTTTGCTTCACTTTTGAAGACCAAATCTTTAATATGTGTGCATATACATATATATAACTCTTTACTGTGGTTATATTCAAGTAATAATTTGAAGCCTATTCTCCTGTAACTATTCAAGAGTAGTTCAGAGCTGCTCTAGGAAGCTGCCATTCAAGATAGCAGCAAAGCTTGTTTATTTCTGCCTGGTTCCTACTCTGTCACTCAGTCGAACCGTGCTTTAGTAGTCACTGGACTTAATATTTTGCATTGTTCAGAATAATCTGCAGCTTCCACTGAGCTGTCTTCCTCCAGAGGACAGTGTGCCTGGTTAGGACACACTTCTACAGTACTGACACTGGGGAAATGTACAAGCTGTGTCAGTGATTCTGACCCTGAATTGTTGCCTATATTTTTGTCAGTGTTTGGTATCTATAGTGCTTTAGTATATGTTGTGCTGTTACCTTCTGTGCCATCAGGCTCTGCCTGCTCCTCACGCTGCTTCTGCTTGAACTTCAGGTTCCCATAGTGCATGACTGCCCCTGTCAGCTTGTAGATGGCTGTTTTCTCATCAGGAGTAAAACCCAGGATGTCAATGGCACTCTAAAAACAAAGAGTCACTAGAGTAAGTACCCCAGGTGCTAAAGGTCAGAGAAATAAAACTTCAC